TAACTTCTATAAGTAATAAGAATATGATATGCAAAACCACATAAAACATTAGCGTCTGAAGACCATCATGTCCTATTTCTTGGCATTCACAAACTATATTTTAAGATAATATCATACATGAAAATCCAAAGATGTACCCCACTGTGTTTTGAATCATTCCCTTAATGCAATTTTCATTCCATAATAAATGAATGTTTGAGACAAATACATTAAAATATTTTGATAAATACAAAAATTGTTGATTATGCAAAAGTATACATTTAAAATGAATGCACATATTAAAGTCTCGTATACTGCAACATAACTTGATTGCTTTACTTAATAATTCTGATTTCTCTGATGAAAAATAGAGCATTGTTGACTATGTAATCACTTTGAATAAATAAAATGACTAGCTCATCATCATTTTGTTAAATAAAACGTCTGCATTTACTACCCAGATTAATTTTAGAAATGCTTCATTATTTCTGAAAATGTAAGTAATACAAAATATTGGGCCAGAAAGTGAATGAGTTCATTAATAAAATTGATGCTTCTTAACTTTACTGAAAAAGTAAATCATCAGTTTTAAAATTAAATTCTGTTACTCTATACAGATTATGAATCTAAAGTGTTCAAGTGTAAATATAAAACCAAATCCATCCAGTTTTACAGTAATCATATGTCTAGTATTAGAAAAGTTTTACAATTTTATTAATGTCAACTATAATTCATATAAAACTATTCTAATATAGTCTTTTTATATCCTTTTTACATCTTGAGAAAATAATAAAATATAATTGAATTATTTTGAATATATGTTTTAAAACTGAATTTTATTCATTTGAATTTTTCAGTCATCATGTCTCCAAAGACATTACTAAAATGTTTTCTTACTCATACATTCTTGTTTCTTCAAGCATTCATTTAGCTATATGTAAGTAACTAAATATCATTAATCAGTTGCCTTTAATGAAATAAATGCTGATTGTGAAATATGACAATGTTACCTTTATGTTGATAGGTAGATAAAAGGTGATAACAGTGTGTTTATTAAATATCATATCAATGCAGCCAATTTTTAAATTACTATTTTGCTACTACAAAATATGATTTAGCAAGAAAAGTCCATTGCAAAATGATGAGAATTTTAGATATTGGATTTCTCAATCTGCCTATCTGTCTGATATTAAAAACTCCAAATTTTCTTGTAAAAAATTTAAACAAAAAAAATCCCAGTGCTTTATCCACAAAAAACAAAAACTTGAATGAAGATAATAATTTTTCGATTTGGTTTTCGGCCTTTTACTAATCATTTTCTTAATATTTTTCACATTTCCTCATAACTAAATTTTTGAACTTAAAGAGAATAAAGGGGAAACATTGCATAGCCCTTTAGCATTGCAGTGATGTAAGGCTTAGCTTACCTTATAGAGCAATAAATGGTCAAGAGATTAAGTCTCAGTATTCTCTGGTAGTTGAAGCAGGTTTATCTCCCAACTTTGGAATGAAAACTTTGAATAGTTCAGTAATGGGCTACAACAAAATAGTTAACACAAGACATTGGGAGAACTCTGGTTGTGACTTTCAGTAAAATCAAAGAAACAATCATGAACTAATATTTAATTCATTCATTTTTCTGCAGTGCAAATTAATTAATGAAAATGTGCACTGAACCAAATCAAGATGCAACTTGTGGCAATATGTTAAGGAATCTAAAAGTAACGAATTTGAAAATGGTCCATCTTGTGTATTCCAGGGTAGCACAGAAATCATAAAATACCCTTAAGTTGTGACATATACTATCCTGCACATATGTGACAGAGAAGGACATGAATGTGTATTATGCAGGAAAAGAAAATTGACAATGACACCATTACGAATAGGCCTTCCTTCCAAGAGTATATTATGACAATTTATCCTTCAGGAGGATGGGAATCAATCTTTTTTTTTTTTTTTTTCAAATAAAAATAGTGTGTGAGCATTTGTACTCTAAACATATACTTTTGTATTTCCCTCCTCGAATATTTTAGCTAGAAAAACAAAAAGTCATGAGTTCTGAAGGGCAATCCTCTTCAGCCAGGTCTCCTTTGGTATGTTACTCATCTTCTTTGGGCATCCCTATAAGATCTTTTCCCATATCTATCTTTCCTTCATTCTGTGGCATCATTCTGCTCTTTTCCTACATTTCTTCTCTCTTGCTGACCACGAGTCATCTAGTTTATGTTGTCTGTCTTGTACTTCCTCCCTTTTACATCCTTCATTTTAGTTTTCATTGAATCAAAAAGTTATAGAAACAATACTGATTTAAACATTAGTTATAAATTTGAGTTGAAAATATAAATTTTGAAATGACTTAAAGTACATATTTTTACAAATAATGTTACCTAAAATCATAAAACACTATTAATAAGCATTATCATACATCCTAATTTTAACAACATGACTATCAATGCAAATTAGGTGATGTTACTTTGCCATTAGATTTTTTCCAGAAATTGTTTTCTTTTCCTATCTAAAAATTTCAATCTAAGTATGTTTTAAATAAGTCTTTCATCTTCTTTTATGGATTTCACTCATATGACATAGTTCATAATTTTATAAGATATTTCAATACTTATAAAACAATTATAAAAATTGCATGTAATTAATAAGAGACCTATAAAGATAAAAGGCAATAGAAGGCACATGCATCATACCGCAAATGTATTTTCCCTCCATATTTAACATTTCTCTATCACCTTTATGCACGCACACACACAAAATCAGTTCAAGCAAAAAAGTTGGTTATGCAAATGCTATCCTAAAGAGTAAATAAAACTTAGTTACATTACAATAATAAGAAAACATATTATAACAGGGTCCAAAATTACCATATTATCATCTGCCTCTAGGTACAGAGTAATTTATCATTCTTCCTATAAGTAGATCCAATAAAAATTAATTAAGGAAAAGTTTCTATTTAGAGAGGAAAACATCCAAATCACAATTGAATGCTAATCTCTTTATTTTTAAAATAAAAGTCAAGTTTTTCTCAGGAATGTGCAAATTAATTACCGAACTAAGGAAGGATTTCCTATCAGTAAAAACAGTTCGCTTTATGAATGGGCATGTGTAAGAGAAGGGAAGGGAGGAAAAGAGAGGACAGAGGGTAAGGAGGAACAGAGGGAGGGTAAAAGAGGGGACAGGAGGGTAGAATTTCATGTGTGCAATTAAATGTAACTATTTCTGAATGGCAATGAATTAGATAGCCCCTGTTAGAAGTCACTTGCACCCTTTTGCATCTGTGTCTTCTAAACTATTTTGTGGTCAAAATAAAAATTTCCTCCTCTTCTTTCAATCTGTAACTGTTTATTTTGTTGAAGGAGCCCATTACTCTTTGTGTTTTAAGGCCACCTATGTTTTTAAGAAAAGCTGACCTAAAAAATGGATTTGTAAACCTTAAATACAAATGAAGCAAGAGTCATATGAATAGGTTTCTGTGCAACTGCCAGAAAACAAACATGCTCAGAGAAAATGAAAAGTTTCCTTTGTAAGCTCTGTAGCATTAGATTATTGTAGCAGTAAGCAACTATTTGTCTACAAGTTGTCAGTACACTTCAACCAAACATTGTAATTTGGATTTTACAACCAATGTGACAACTGTGTTAGTTTTAGCTCATCAACCCAGAGATCTCATCATTTAATGTTACATTGTGAGATGGTGTAACTCAGCAGAAGTTATTTGCAAAATGATAAACAGTAGCGCTGTTTTACAAAATCCTTTGCTCCTTTTAATTTGGTTATGGTGATTTCTGGTTGGTATGCTAATCTCATATGCCAAACCTATGTACTTTTCTGAGATTTACCCAGACTGCAAATGGGATAAACACTAAGAAGACTAAGTCACAGGCATTAAAAATGTAACATAACCCCGAATATAGTTTTTTTTCTTTTTTACTCAAAACATTGGATACAATTTGCTTTTGATGTGCAATTGAACAGTGATTCTCCAATGTACTCCTAAACTGTGATATGAAGGTAGCACACTTACAAACAGGGAAGCTAGCCATCATCATTTAAGGAATCCTCTCTCAGAAGGAATGGGATCCCTCCTGTTTGCATGGGGAGCAGCAGGCAGAGCCGAGAGCATCCTCTCTAGAAAATCTACTAAACTTCTACAACATTCAAACTAGTTCCAACCCCAACGTTTCATGCTTTACATTTCTTCATGCAGATAACCCAAAAGGGATGGTCCCAGGGCATTTCTCCACATCCTTTTAAAAAAATATGACACCTCTGCTTTACTGTATGTTTCGGGGAGCTTTTGCATAACTATAACGTTTTGCTATAACGTTCTTATAGCACTTGCACACTCACATAAACACACACTACCTGTAACAACAAAAACAGCAACACACGTTCCCATACACTATCACAACAATCACACAGGATAGGGATTGAATCGCCCTCTGGGATGGATTCTACACTTCTGACCCCTACGTTCCCCAAATGCTGTGTTCTGGGATGCGAATTTAGGACCCCAGTTTACAGCTCAGCCAGCCAGCCGGCCAGCCAGCAGCCACCACCACCACCACTATCATCACCACAACCATCACCTCCACCAACACCCACGCCCCTAGAAAGCCCCTGGTGTCCTTGTTCAAGAGAAAATCTATTAGACCCGTGCAGCCACAAAAGAACAGGAAAGAAAACCAAATAGAGAAAATAACAAATAACCATAAACAACCAAAAGCCATGCAAGATATGGGCAAAAGGCTGAAAAGTTTCAGTAGAAGACTGCAAACTGAAGTTTTTTGAGGGACATTTTTAGACCCAAGCCCTAGCACTGGACACAGACTAGAAGAGACCTACAATCAATGAATCCTTGTACTCCTCTTTCCCCCATGGATTTACACCGTGAAGAGGCAAGCTAGTTAAGATTAACTCTCTACAGACTAAGTTGGATGAAGGTGATGAGACATGCAGAAGAAGGCAAAGGGGTAAGAGCAGGGAACGAGTCAAAAAAAAGAATGTCTCACCTGGCATTGGTGCAATCGGTGAACAAAGTTTCAAAGTCTTTCCTGGTTATAAGTTTGCAGCGGTTCACCCCGGGCTGGATGGCCCCCAGCCCGCGGAGGATCCGGACCTGCTCGACAGTACACACTACTGGCGATATGTCCAATCTCTTCAGCTTGGTATACACCGTGTGCAACCCTCCCACCAGGTGCTTGAGGAAAAGATCAAAGACTTGCGGCAGGCAGATCAGTTCCTGACCGTCCATCAGGAACGAAGCCACCTTCGCCCCATGCATGTCGACCATCCGGCACTCGTTGGTGTTGGTGCTGCCACTGCCTCCACTGCCACCACCGAACCCGCCACCACTGTGGCTGTTGGCCATGAAGCTGTTGATTATATTAGGCGTGAGGCGAGGGGGCTCTCGCGGAGTCGAGTACTGTGGTTCGGCTCGAAACAAGCCCCCCGGGACGCCCGTGCCGCTGGAAGTTACAGAAATCACCGGAGGTGCAGAGACAGCCATGGTCACTCTGTCTTTTATGTTGGGTCCTCGGGCCCTCGCTTTCTCACCCCAACTCCTCTGGATCCCCTCCCTCGCACTCCTTCACCGGCGCTCAGTCTGTGGCGTGTTCTAGCTTTCTCTGAACTGTTAACAACTTCCCAGCAGCCGGGTTCAAGCTGAAGCTCACCCACCACCCAGCAAACAGTGAGCTGCCCCGACCCGTGGCGGCCTGAGACCCCACCCTCAACACACCCCCTCCGGAGACTGGCAGCGGACCCCAGCCAATGGGCCCCAACCCCTCGGCGCCTGAGCGATCCGAATGGCTGTTGCCGATGAGGAGGTGGAGACTCTCTTGCCGGCCTCTGACCACCTGAGGCAGTTCAGGGCTCTCTGGTGAATGGAATCTAATGAGGCAGTGCGGTGCCTTGCTTTTTGCCTCACAATCTGACGAAAGAAAGTCCATTTGTCACGCAAAGCTCTCCAAGTAGACTATGCTACAAACTCATCTTCTCCGCTCACCACTAATGTAGAGATAGAAACACAAAGCAGGACGCTTAAAGGTCTCCTCATCCTCCTCCAGCCACTTGAGTGTGACACCCAAGTTCCTTTGAGGAAAGTGAACTCTCAGCTACAATTCCACGTACACATTGCTCCCAAACTCTGCAGGAGTTAATGAGTGACTTCGCCTAGCTTTCAGAAGAAAGATTCCCCTAAGTTCACAAGTAAACCACCTCAGCTCCTCGCCAGGCCACCTAGTGCGTTTCAGGTAAATTCTTGCAGATCCAGAGCTGGCAGACTGGAAGTGGCCTCTGAGATAGAGCTCAGGCAGGTCAGAGTTGCTGGTCAAGTTAACCCACTCCTACGTTATGCTCTGACTTTCATGAAGGCTGGCGAGCCTGCGAGTACTTTAGGAAATAAGACAGTTTGTGAGTGCAAATGGATGCCTTATTTTATAGCACTTCCACCACTGTCCTGAAACACACAAAGCTGTGTGTCCCCATCCCTCAGCCTCAGGATTGGGCTGCCTTACCCACACACCCACCCCCGCTAAAGTTTATTGGAAAGTTTCTCTAATAATTCAAAACAGCCCTAACAGAATATAAGGGAAAGGCAAAGGTTTGCAGTCTTAAATATGACATTTTCCTCTCTCACCTGTTGGCTTTGAAAGCCCAATAATTAGACGTCTATGCAGCTTAAGATTCCTCTTCCTGCACTTATCAAGTGCCACAAACTTACTAAAAGAGTTCATAATGAGCAAAGTATCTAAACAGGGTACGTTTCAAAGGAAAGACAAGTTCTTACACAGAGCATAAGGTGGATAGATGACAGTGTCAGAGTTGTACCAAGGAGAGTTGCTCAAACCTCTCCTCTAAAGTCTAGTAGTTATTTAGAAAGTGAAATCCACTCTTCATTTCTTAACATAATGTTACCAACTACATAGCTAAGGCAAATTCTCTGATATTTTTTCAGAATATGAATATTTTTGCAAACTTAGTGAATTTGATTCTGCGCTAATTCCACCCAGCAGTATAAAAGAGGAGTGGCTAAGCTTTCTGCTCCCTTAATAAGTTATAAGTGAGCTAAATTCGATTTCTCTGCCTTTTTCTAAAACATATTTTGTTCTTTTTGCCACTTCATTGAGCATGTGTTCATCTCTCTTTGGAGGGGGAATATGATAAAACAAAATATATAAATGTATGAAAATATCACACTGAAATCCATTAATGTACACAATTACTATGTGTTAATTTTATAAAATCCTCCTTTAGAATCCTATTTCAATTTTAAATTACATAAGATCAAAATGCTAAGAAGTTGTGATGAAAGCAAGTTTTGGAATACAGCAATAAATCATTCCTAACATAATAGATGGGAATATATGTGGCCTCAAAATATTTTTTGAAGGCATCAAACTGTTTTTGCTATGTGACCACAGTTGTGGGAAGAAAATAAGGAGCAAAGAAGGTCAATTGTGAAGAGACAGCAGAAACAGAAAAGCTTCAACAAAAAGTAGTGGTTCTCAAAAAACAAAAAACAGCACAGACAGAAATATTTGTATATAGCTGTTGTTGTTTTCTTAAAACAAGACATCCCCAATTTCTTCAGTGGGTGTTTTGAAAGGAATGGCTATTAAACTATGTGTTGAAATAACTTGTCTCATAACATATTGTGATTAAAATTTCCACATGAACAGGTATGGTGTAAAGGAAAGTCTTATTTCAAAAAGATCTAATTGTATTAAAAATCCTAAACATAAATTACTCCTTGTGTATACCTCCAGCCACCTTATCTTTGCCTTTTTATGCACAGTGTGATTTGGTGTTTTCAGTAATAGAACATCATGCAAATATTTTAATGTTTCAAATTTTTAAAATTCTGAAATATAATAATAGTATATTCATTTGGGCCATAATTATTTTTATAGTATAAATAAACATACTTTGAACATTTTAGAAGCATGAATTAAATGTGTTATTATTTAATGTTCACTGTCAAGATTATAGCAAAATTTTAATTATTAGTAGAAATTAAGGTTTAAATGCTAGAGGAAATATTATGAAGTGAAATTGGCCAGTGATAATTGAGGGGTTAAAGTCTCTTAGAAGCTCTTAATGTACAAAAGACCCTTGGTTTCACTACTAGAATTCTTGCCTTTGCAGTCCTCTAGAAAATAAACTTGATAATTTGCTTAAATGATACTTGTAAATTTAAAGATTTAGCCATCTAGATCTGAGACTCTAGGTTTTGTTTCCTTAGGCTTTCTTTCTCTTTTGATTACTCTATTTCTGTTACTGCTAGTCCTGTTATTATTAGTTATGCTTTGAGACTGTTGTATCCAGGGTTTGCAAGGGGAAGAATTTAATACAGGACACATAACTAATAGGATTATTTTATAATAGTCATCCAAAGAGTGAAGTTCAAAAGAATGCAGGAAGTCAGTCCACATACTAAAGACCCTAAGAATCCAGCTGAGGGTCTGGATCCGATGGCACCATCCTGCATGAGTCCAGCTGAAGACCTAGAGCCCATAACAATGCCCCCCATGAGTGAACTAGAGGCCATGACAGTGTCTCACACACATCTGTTCCACGGATCTGCACTGGGAAGGCCCAAAGGTTAGTGGTGGAAGCTAGAAAGTCTGTGCCATCAACATAAAGGTTCTGTGCTAGCAGGCTGAGGGATCTGCACTGGAGCCAGGAAGTGACATTCAAAGTAAAGACCAGAGCTCCCCCCAAAAATACCACAGCCATCCTCAGCAACAAGGTCTCAAGCTCCTCTGATGGTGAGAACTGCCTAATCTATATCAATAAAACAGTGCAACAAGCTCCTCCAGGGCATTGAACAGTGCACCATCTTCCCTTCTGGAGCCTGGAAGGGATGCTCAAAGTACGGATCAGAGCTTCCCCAAAGTGAACTGTAGCCATTCTCAGTGACAATGAGGTCCCGAGCTCTTTTGATGATGAGAACAGCTGAGTTCATATCAGGAAAGCCAGCATGACAAGCTCCTCCGGGAGAACCAACAGCACCCAGGAGAACCAGCAGCTCCCTAACAACACCATTCCAGATCTTCTTTTATTTGGTTGGCAGTAATCCTCAGGTGGGCCCTCCATATCCAGCACCACGCTGATTCAGTTCAGTTGGGTGCTACAAGTTGATCACCAGTAGTCACTCCACCACAGAGAATAAGATAATCAAATTCCACATAGACACTTTATTTGTATCTCCTTCTGACTTTAATGTCTTCCATGAGGCAAACACATTCCTAAATAAGGCTAGATTTCTACAAAGACAGAGAAAGCCTTGCATACCAATACCCTGAAATTTTGGCATTACATGAAACAATATAAAATAGTAAAGGCTGCAGTAAACATGATACACTTGGAAGATGAGAGGCACTAAAGTAAAACTAAGAAAACATCAAAGGTTTGTGAATTAATACCAGACAAGAGCCAACAACCACAACAAACATGAATAAAACTAGTACAAATATAGTATCTTTGCCATATCTCATCAGAACAAGAAGTTCTAGATGCCACTAATTCCAGTGGAATGATTTGAGGCTTAAATGCAGCTTCTTGTACACTGAAATGCTGTAAACTTCCTAGCCTCAATGAGCAATTTACATCTTTGTCTACCGTAATTTGGAGAACCCTTTTTAAGAGGCAAGAAGGGAAATTGGAGAAACTCCTTTAAAATCTCTTTAAAATCATTTTGTGGGAGGCAGCAGCTGATGAAGGTGAAGGGGAGATGGCTTACATTCTCATTTTGGAGGCTAAGGTGTTCATCTGTGAATTTAGGCAAAATTTCAACTTTGACATAGTGAAATGAAGACATAATTTTAATTAAATATATAATTTAGACATATACAGGCAAGCCTTTGTAGGACTAAAAAATGTAGAGTTATTGGAAAGAACCGGTTTTCAAAATGAGTATTCAAGGAAACACCAAGATAATAAATGGAATCATTTGAAATCCTCAGCCAACTGATGTAGCAACTTCAGATATGGCCTCTAATCAGAACCTACCAGGAGCCCTCTTTGTTTTGAGACAAACAAGAAAAGGAAATTATTGGGCAAGGCAATACATGTGAAATGAAGCATCAGAAAACTGAGGAGTTAATTGGCTAAAGCCTGTAGGTTTACCACACTCAGTGTTTTCCAAGAAACAGGTTATAGAAAGATCTTCTTGGACATATTAGTTTCTCTTTTAGTTTCAATATTAAATTGAAGATGAATTCCAAGCCAAAGGTGGAGAAGAGGAACCATCAGAGCAAGAGAATTTGTCAAAACCCAGGGAGTAATTATTGAAATCAGATGCTTCAAGGAAAAAAAATTTTCTAATTGAAATACAAAAAATTTAATTCTCAAATTACTCATAAAATATGAGCACTTACCAACTTTTAACCTATGATACCACACACAGCACTGTCCTAGGAAAGGAACAGTTTCCTTTAAACACTAGATATATCTCTCAATGTATTATCTCTTTTCATAATTTAGAAGGTTATTTTGTTTTTATTT